ATTTATCAGCTGCTAACAGCATTTTTCCGTCACACGTCAATTTTCGTAATGTTTTTGCTTGCGTCATAGCTTTTATTCCAGTTTAATAATAGTTTGATGTATTTGTTTCTCACAACCTGGGTGGGTGTTTAGTCAGCCTAATGTAGTTATTATTAACAGTGCAAACTCAAGCAAGTGAAATTCACCATTTATCAAGTCAAAAATAAACCGCAATCAGAGTTTTATGCAAAATTGAGCTCTAAAACCTTTTGCATTTGCGTATTTGACGTATTCCTCATTATTTCTCTGAATTTATCCATGATCCATCTTACATCTGCTCTAAATTCTTTTTCCGTCCATGCAAACAGTACAGGACGCCTGCATCCAAAATTATTCGTTGTTACCAGCTGGAATGCCAAATATCTACATAGTAGAATTGAAAAACCATATGTACTTTTTATTATTGGTACAATTCTATCTGCTTATAAGCACTAAAGCAGATTCTGGTAGCATATTCATTTTTTCAGTACTCTCTCAGTTCACCGTTTTGCAGCAATATATCAACTACTTGGAGTCACGTATAACAACCTAAAATATACTTCTATACACTTACCTGTGGAGAGTTGAGCTTTCATAGTCTTCACATCAGCAGAAGTGACCTACTTACCAGTTCGATCCTTAATACTTTCTATCAGTCCATCTGTTGATGTTAATTACAGTCTCATCCTCTTTTTTGAGAACAATCTGCTGGTCCATGGATGGTTTGTCATCCAAATATCATTGTGAAGTATCTTGCATGATTTTATAGCATATTCTTCGCAATCCAATTCCACACAAAACCTTGATTGACAGTTTAGAAGCTTTGACTTTAAACGTCACATGCCAATTAAAGTACTCATGGTTTTCGATTTACTGTTAGACCCTGTGGTTTATGCTTATGACCAAATATGCAATGAAACACCACAGACATAAACTTAAATTTCATGTTCTTCAGCAGTTTACATTCGCTGTGAATGTAATGAGCATGGGTAGAATAAAAAGGGACAAAATTACTGCTCCATACTCTATTGGAATTCCTTTAGCATACTATCGAATTCAAACCAGCTTCCAATACGCCTGTTCAGTATTTTACATTAAAACGCTTTGCTTAAGTCGACTGCAATGTCTCTTGAACACAAAGCACTACAAACAGCACTCATTAATTATTAAAAAAGTTATTCTTTGCAATAATAATTAATAACTGAAGAAAGCGTTACAAACATTTAAGACTTACAGGTTACTTGATATTTCCTCTTAATCCTTGTGTAAAAAAAGCGATTCACACAAATTTCGCGTATCTATAACTGTTATGTTATTCTCGAGACGCTGTTTTGTGGACCCCACCGAATTTTAAACACGGACACTGAGGTTCAATAAAGTAATCGATATCTCAGTTCAAGCTTCAAAGCAACAATGGAGCCATTGTGTACACAGTGGAAGGTAAATTAATGTTTTACGCAGTGATTCGGTGATTATACTGCGGAAAAGGATGACTTAAATATTCGTACAACGAAACGGACATCCAACAAACTCATGCACTTGAAATACGGAATGTCTGATTCTTGTCAGGCAGCTCAATGTCGCTGAAACGAAACAGCGGGCGGCTTTGAAAGGATCTGCCATTTTAAACGGGCCTGCGGTCAATTGTGCCCATCCAGTGTCTACCTGCCTTAAACTGCACTATTTCGGGAATTCTTAGTCAGAACATTAATTAAAATACTGATAATGACCATGTCGGCGACGCGATAGAGCCAAATCTTGGACAGTTGAATATTAATTCAACTGGGGATGACGTCGAAGAATATTTGGAGCGGTTCGGAATCTGGCGCACAACTAGAAAAAATATCGAAGGTGATAAACTTACAGCTTATTTCTCGACATTCATTGACAAACAAGCGTATAACTTGCCAAAGAATCTTGCTTTTCAAAGAAACAAGTCTCATCGTCATATGAATCTCTCAAAGTATTTCTACTTGCCATGTAAAGCGTGCTCGTTTTGGATACGGATAAAATTCGAAGTTTCATAAAATGAAGCGACTATATGATCAAAGAGTTGAATACTTTACGCTTGAACAACTGAAACAGGCCACGACGTGCAATTTTGAAAACCGACTGGAAACTTAGGTTCGTGATCGGTTGATTGATGAAATAAATATACCGAATTTATTGAGTTAATTCGGAAGTTCAGAAGTTCATTCGAAGAAATAAAAACACCATGTTACCCCCCTTTATTGTCTTTTCGTGGTTGACTGGATTATGAAGACCTCAACATGTGAGAGGGAGCACGAATTCAATGAGCAATTTAGATGCAATTGAACAATTTGGACTTTACATATGACTTTGCTTTTCTATCCCATACACACGTACAGATGCAGATGAAAACAACTAGAGTAGCAGGAGTCTCTGAGGCACTAGGCCTCAACATACATAAGGGAAAAAGCGAGATCCTTAAATACAGCACGGAGGAAACCAACTCAACCACAATTGATAAGGAAGCTCTGGAAGAGGTGGAAAATTTCAAGTGCCTGGACAGCATCGTCATCGGTGTCCAGTGACATTGGGCCCTAATCAAACAATCTTCAAAGCTAAACAGAAGATAACTAGGACAACAGATATTCAGCATTTAACGCGGAGAAAGACAAAACTATGGAGAGGGCGGGAAGAATAAATACAAGTAGTTCAAACTGATCGGCTGGCATGGCGCGGCTGTAAGTGTTGTCCTAAATCTTTTATTCATATCAAATATATTGTTTTATCACCAGCCTAAATGTGTTCTCCATCACATACTGGTAATTGTTCAGATACGATGAGTCAGTGTAGACAATGATCTGACTTTCACGTAAGATCTTATAGATTAGGCAGTTACAACCTAACAAATCTACAATTTTAGGATTAGGTCTATTATTAAAGCAGTGCTAATACCGAAGTAGACCATAATTCTACAGGTAAAAAAGGAGGATCCAGTGCAAACGTAAAGGCAGGAACTGAAAGAGAAAGAACAGCATTCCTGAAGTTGAAGAACGTGTGGAACTTAAAACATTTGTGAACCGATATCAAAACGAGAATCTTGAATGCAAGCATCAAGATGGTTATACTGTATGAAGCTGAAATTTGAAGAATTGCGACAACCATAATCAAAAGAGTACAAATATTCATAAACAGTTGTCTGCTCAATGTACTGAACAGGCGTTGACGGGACACCATCAGCAATAACCTACTGTGGGAGAGAACATACTGCCTTCGAGCTGAAGAGGAAAATAGGAAGAGTATAAGACATACATTACGGGAAACATCAAGCTGCATCCCGAGGCAAGCCGTTATTTGGAATTCTGAAGAAAAACTAAAAAGTGGAAGGCCAAAGAATACACTATGTTGGGAATCAGAAGCAGACATGAGAGGGATTAATTGCAACTGGAGCCAACGGGTGGGGATTGCCTAGGACAGTTAGATGAAGAATGCTGGTGAGCGACCTATGACCCTCCACGGTGAGTAGCGGGCGCAAGTTAGTAAGTTATGTATTAATTACGAGGCAGTGAGTGGGTCTGACTTCAAATAGGCGAAAATTCCTAATACTTTGCTTGGTCGTCACGACGAACTATATTCCCAATGTCGCACAAGCTTGCATTTGCTTCATAATGATTCTCACCCTCATTGAAATATGAAAAATAATGCGAAAAGAATTATGAAGCAGGTTACAGAGGTGAGCACAGGTTTGGTTGATGTTTATACTGTGATGTATTTCACATAAATAACTCATGTGTCTTCAATTGTGCCAAATCCTTGAAGTGTGTATGAATAAGTTACACCAAGTCGGCCTGCAAAGCTATCATTCATTTTGCAACTGATGATGATAAACCCTGTAGTTGGGCTCGATTTTGTTGGGTGTTGCTGGCGATCACTTATCCTTATTTACAATTTCGAGAGTTGATCTCCATATTCAGAAGAGATTACATACCTACAGTGATTCACTCCATGACCTTGAAGATTCCACAAGCATTTGGAGTTTGACAACACTCTGACAAGTAGCACCTTCTATGATTGAATCACGCTCACCCAGTGAAATCGAAAGTCACAAGCGAGGAGGTCCGAAGATATATTTGTTAAGTCATCAATATATCGAAAAATGACTGGTCTAAACTGGCTGACGGTTGCGGAAGTTGAGCACGGCGATCCCACTTATGATATGGTGCGGATGCGTGACCGAGCGCCTTCAGCTAGGTGAGTCCGTTAAGACTAATATGGTTTGCATCAAATGTCGAAGACTTACAGAGCTATCGATTTCGGGGATTTATTTAGTGCTACAACCTTAATGCTGTTAAAGGCAGAATGTAGTCCATTATTTTACACAAGAACTTAAAATCTTTAGATTCCAACAATGTAGTACGACCCACTGAAGTTTCAGTGTTGCAGATTACTGAATACAAACACACATACGAGGATTCTGTGAAATGCTAATTAGAGATTATAATTCTTCAAACATGCATTTTGAGCACTTAGTAAGTGAAACAGTACCGTCAATCCTGAGTTTTGAAAACTTGAAAAGGCTTAATGTGGAGTTGTTTTTATTTACTCCTAAAGACGATTCTGACGCTTTAATTTTATAGTTGCGTGTGTTAAGTGAGGTTAGGAGAGATGAGAATTCAGCGTATAAAACTTCAAGCACAAGGTGACCCGGTATTTCCCAATAGACGAACAAATCCTTATGGTCTTCGAGGTGCAGTGCGTGAAGCGTTGAATAATTTGTGTGCGAAGCCTATGATTGAGTCAATTCACACTTCAGCATCGGGTACTCCTGTGGAATTATGGTCTACTTTGTTATTAGTACTACTGGAATAATAGATCTAATCATGAAATCGTAGATCTGTAATGACGTGACTACCTAATCCATGAGACCTAACGTCGAAGTTACATAGATGTCTGCTCTGACTCGTCGCATCGTGACAATCAACACTATAGTGTTTGGTGAAGAACATATTTAGGCTGAAGATGGAACAGGACATTTAACATGAATAACGGATATAATTTACACACGAATGACCATACCTGAAAGGCTGGGACATGCCACTCAGTTTAACTAATTAATTCGCCCCCTCTCCTTTGTTAACAATCGTGTTAGTTGTTGAATACGCATTTTCACAGTTGTCTCATGTTCAGCTTTGAGGATTGCGTGATTCGAACCTGTTAGGTTTGTTAACTTCGAGGATACTACTGATTCGACTTATTCGGAACGGAACGAAGGCTCAGGATTCAGAGACTCAATAGACTATTCTGGTCCGTTGTCTTCGACTCAGCTAACTCGATCAAGAAGTCTTGGTAAGGCGTAGAAAGTGTATTCTACAAGCAACAGCAGATACCATGTCAGGCAGGCAGATCAGATCAAGCATACAAGTCAAGCGTATTTATACAATTATTTACAATCGATATTGTCATAGAAAATTTTTAAACATTAATCAATGAGTTCATTAATTGACCTATTTGCGCATTTAATCGATAGTTCATCAATCGACCTATTTGCGCATTTAATCGATAGTTCATCAATTGACTGCTATTCAAACATTTAACCGATCAGTTCATCAATTGACCCCAATACAAATATTTAAACATTTAATCAACAAGTTGATCGATGCGATAAAATTTAAAATATGAGTTTGGGGATCTATCGTCCCCAACACTCCTCCCCTTTTTAATAGCGGGCTTTTCTGGGGTCAACCTGCATCTTGACTGTAGCTCGCCGTTCTCTTATAAGCCACCGTCTGGGACGTGTTTCAGCTTGTTGTTGGAGTTTTTCTAGTGGTAGGGTTGCCGGTAAGTTGAAAGTATCAAGCAAGATGTCGAGAGGAAGATTTAGCCCTGTTGATGGGTGGTCTGGGGCTATCCGCTTACGTAGTTGATTTCGGTGTCTAGTCCATGTGTCTCTTCCCACCTTTACATTGTACATAACTTGGCCTAGTCTTCCAACCACACGTGCTTAGATCCAAGGACCATGATTTGCTCTGTAGTCTCGAGCGAACACAGGGCATCCAACCTCGTACGCTGGAAGCTTCTGAGATTTGGTCTGAGATGGTGGTGGTGTGGTTCTTGGGCACATCAGACTATGGGTCGTCCTCAATTTCCTTCCCATCAGGATCTCTGCGGGGGACTTCTGCTGTGTTAGCATATCACTAGGTGTTGTTCGGTAAACAAACGAGAAATTCTGCAGTGTTTCTACTGGCGTTCCCTCCCCTTTCGACTTCATTAGAGCTCTCTTGAATATATCCACAAATCTTTCTGCCTGGCCATTTGACTGTGGGTGGTAAGGCGGAGAGCGGAAATGCTTGATAGATAGGCGTTTGCAAAATTCTTGAAATTGACTTGAGGTGAATTGCGAACCATTATCGGAAACGATTATATCCGGTAATCCGTTGCGAGAGAACATCTCTGTCAAAAGTTGCATCGTTTGGGTTGTCGTTGGTGGCGTGACGGGAAAGATTTCTGGCCATCTCGAAAAGGCGTCAACAACGACTAGATAGGTGATTCCATTAATGGGGCCTGCGAAATCGATATGTATCCTGGACCAGAGATACTCAGGCTGTGGCCATGGGACCGGCACTGATTCCGCGTTACACTTGGCTGCTTGCTGACATTGTGTGCATTTGCTTACTAAATCCACGATATGTTGGTCCATGAGGGGCCAATAAGCATAGCTTCTGGCGATGGATTTCATTCGTTTTATACCAGGATGACCAGTGTGGAATTGCTTTAGCACCCTTGATCTTAAGGACTCTGGTACCAATACTCTATCTCCAAACATCAAGCATTCGTTTACGACGCATAATGAGTCCCGACAGTGGTAAAGCTGTTTCAAGTCACCATCGAGTCCAGTCGGCGGCCAGCCATTAGTGACGTATTTCATCGCTCTCTTTATGATGGAGTCGTTCTTGGATGCAGATTGTATTTCAGCTGCTGAGACTGACAAAGCACGAATAGCAGTTGTCAGGTAGCACTGCGCGCGGTCCTCTGTCATTAGGGAGGCACTAACTGCATCTTCGCCGGCCGTATGGTGTTCGCTGGTTGAAAACTCCGTCAGTAGTTCTTTCGAATATGTTTCAGGTTCATGAGATTGTTTCATCAGATGGCATACGGTGCTCAAAGGAACGTCAGCTAAACATAGCCGGTCAAACCAGTCTAATCCAAATAGATTAAGACCAGCTGGTGTGATGGAACATACACCGGTAAACGTCGAATCGTGAAAAGACACTTTACAATCTAGTTGTCCCAACAAACGTAGGTAATTACCGCATGCAGTTCGAGGTTTTTGTGTTGTTAGAACCATGCGTGGTCTTCCCATTCTGATCCAATATTTTCGTGAGAGAATTGTTACATCAGATGCAGTGTCTATTTGCCATCTAAATGGGTGCCCATTAATATTAAGGGTAATAGATTTCCTCTCAACTGGGGATGAGTTCTCACAGCTTGCTATTAAGCTCAACGAATTCGTGTTGGATCTAGGCGTAGGCCTTTTGGTACCTTTGGAGTTGCTTGGCTTCTTTTTTCGACAAAACCCATCTTTATGACCCACCGCATTACATTTCCTGCACCGATGTTGCTTATATGGACAGTATAGAACAAAATGCCATGCACCGCAGTGCCAGCATGGGGCAGGAGGATTTGTTTTTGTCTTTTGACCTGAACCAGATGTTGCTGGGGCAGATTTATGCGGTTGTTGGACTACATGAACTTCAGCACGATCTGAACCACCACGCTGGACCATCGTAGTGTCACGCTGTAGATTGATTAGGCGTTGATATTCGTTTGCAATATCATTAAGGGTTAGTTTTGGATCTTGGTCCAATCGACTTAGCAAACGTGTTCTAACGTCACTGAACTTCTGTGATTGAAGGCTGAAGATGAGAATGAGTGCTTTAAATTGGTCTTCAGTAAGCGACTTCAACCGGAAGCGTTCACATTCTCGGTTAACAATACCCACATGTGTGAGAAAATCATCATCTTCGTTCATAGTGAGCTTCAAACATCGATAAAGCGCATTGAATAGTGAGGAGTTGTCTCCGAATTGTTGGCTCAATGACTGGACAGCGTCCGAGAATGAGCGATCGCGTGGGTTTAGAGGCAGAATTAGGTTGCAATAATTGTCTAGTTCACTAGGACCCAACTTTGGAAGCAGCAAGCGGACCTTCCAAGCATCATCCTGATTAGCAAAGTCGAATTTGAATAAGTCTTCGTAACGTCGAAACCACATATCAAACGTGACATTGGATTCTGGATCGTAATGAAACTCGGAGATACTGTTAGCGATACCATCAACTGATGGTGCAGTAGTAGTAGGATTAGAACTGCTTGGTTGAGTATTAGACGTAAGCTTTGCATTTGCTAACATCTGAATAAGTTTCATCTGCTGCTCGAGTAATAATTCAAGTTTGGAAGGATCCATGTTTCCAAAACCACCGTCGCCAAATTGTTATGGTTCGTTTTTGCTTGAATGCTATTACTGATGCGTCTTACTCGAACGAACGAAGGATCGATGATTCAGCGACTCGATAGCTATTCTGGTCCGTTGTCTTCGACTCAGCTAACTCGATCAAGAAGTCTTTGTAAGGCGTAGAAAGTGTATTCTACAAGCAACAGCAGATACCATGTCAGGCAGGCAGATCAGATCAAGCATACAAGTCAAGCGTATTTATACAATTATTTACAATCGATATTGTCATAGAAAATTTTTAAACATTAATCAATGAGTTCATTAATTGACCTATTTGCGCATTTAATCGATAGTTCATCAATCGACCTATTTGCGCATTTAATCGATAGTTCATCAATTGACTGCTATTCAAACATTTAATCGATCAGTTCATCAATTGACCCCAATACAAATATTTAAACATTTAATCAACAAGTTGATCGATGCGATAAAATTTAAAATATGAGTTTGGGGATCTATCGTCCCCAACTGAACCAATATCACTAAATTCATATTGTTACTTATTCAAAGACTGATTGTTAGATCCCTGTAATTCACGGTGATTATATACTTCACAAAGTGATGATTGATATATTCATTGGTCCTAAAGGTGTTGTAGTTGATCATAATGGTCATATTATTCATGGTTCTGGTGAAGCAACTCATGATCAAAGGGTTACTGTTCAGAGAAAAGCATTAACTCTGTCATGGGCTGTTATACGACTAAATACGTATTTATTTAAAAAGAAATTCACTATTTTTACAGATCATGAAGCCTGAAAGTTCGTTTATTATCCTGAAAAATCATTAGCCCACCGGCTATGGGTCAGCGCTGTCTCAAGGACCCTAAAATTTAATCTCATCAGCACTTCAGGAGGTGGTCTTCTCTTAGATATTCTGTATCAAACGTTCAAGAATACTTTTTGGATTGCAAACAACCTATTTTATGTCTGATAGTGTAATAGCTACTGGTTCTAGAAACCCTATCGTCACAAGCGCTCCTTCAGTTAAGATCAATTAAAATCAGGGGTTCTGTTTAACTTCTTTTTCCCCAAATCTTAATGTCTCTGAAGCAATGCTGTTTCCATTTTCTCACCTGATGTCCATCAATCGGTCTTTATTGTTAACAGGGACTGGAGTATATCGAGCATCCACAAATTTTGTCGTCATATACTCTTGGATTTCGGCCCCATTGCTGTGTGCTTACTAGTGAATGTGTTGGACAGGTTGAGTACACTAGTGCGAATCAATGAGTTGCTTTCACCAGTGCTTTGCGCTGTTTTTATGTTAATTCTTCTAACATATTTTTACTGCACTGTAGGCATACGTAATAGGAACATGGATTGAGTGACTTGAAACGAATCCATAGTATTCCATAGATTCTGTAGTATCACAACGGTAGTGGACCCAGCTACCACAGAAATTACATTCAACTGCCAAGTCGCTGGCTTTACTTGACAACTAGCATGCAATACGATTCCCGTTGTTGTGTAACTCGGAGTTTCGGACACCCCTACTTCGCGTTTCTTTTTTACTTACTGGTCTCACTATGAGCAGTAATGTGAATAGCAGTATAAACCTGGTTACTAAGTACGTGATTTCGTTTTGGTGTTTAAGTCGACGGAGCCGTGTCACACGTGATATTCTGTGACGTAATCGGCTTTATTATAAGCTCGGGACAAATTACATGGCTTTTCGACTCACTTCATAAACGATTTCATTAAGAGCTCTACTAGACATCCCCCTTATTATAGTGTAAGTGCTGATGCCAACGCTACTTCCATGAATGTTACAAAGTGGTACAAAGGGTGTATTTCGAAACAATTCAAAGTAGAATTACGCAAGATGTGAGTTTCTATGGAGAAAAATAACCGAAGTAAGCAAATATATGCCACATAACAACAGAACCAAATACACACTAAAAGGTTCAACGTTACCCTCGACCGTCCTAGCGTGCAACGCTGCATTGATCTAGTGACTTTTCCAGAAGCGATGTATGCACAACGTATATCCGAAAGACCTAGACGACGAACTTGATTACTGTAAAACGTTGTCCTAATAGCCATGACCGGAAAGTAATGCGCGCGGCGGGGCTAAAGAACAGATAAATAACAATGCTTTTTAACAAAACCACCTCAAAGCACGACTGAAGCTCAGTTAGTCAATGGGGTCTAAACTGCATTGAATTTGCTAGGAGAATCGATTATCAAGTCGGAATAGAATTAGTGAGGTCGAGTACCCATTGAACACATTCATATATCTCAAATCTTATGAGCACAACAAAAAGTAAGGTAAAAGAAAACAACTGGTTTATACAGGCTCGTGACGAGGATGTTGGGTCCTGGAATACAATACATCTGGAAGCTTTGGTGCTTTTATCTCGTTTGACTAGAATCTGTTGATCTCTCGTCAACTGCTGAGAACCTCCACATTTGCACTACCATATTAGAGTAATTAAATGCTTCAAATAATGCGTACTGCATCTTCACCTTGTTGGTGCACAAATGTCACGACAAATGTGGCCATAATCATGCCACGTTTAAACCACCACTCGGTAAATCTATCTGTCTTGATCAACTTCTGTCTTCCTGCTTGTTTCGATCGCAGAATATACACACTCATTTTCTTGTCAACACGGGATATGTGGCTAAGTCATTGGATCTCGATGAAATAGCTTGTGAGGATGGTTAAGCATATCTCTTTAATTTTAAGTATCTCTCATGTTCTGTTTTTGTTAGGCTTATATTATTCTTCTCGCTCAAGTCTTTTGTCTCATACACTGTTTCTTTCGACTGTTCTACATTCTGCCTTCTGATTTACTAGGTGACATGAACAGGAATAACGTTTGCATCGGTACTGACGCTATGCCTGCTACACTACAACTACATTATAATTACTGTAACCACGGTTAGCAGAGCAAGACTTTTAAAGTCATAGGCTACCAATGAGTCTAAAATCCTTATTTCTAACAACAATACGATAAGTAGGCTCGAGATGATACCAAGAAAAGGATCTGTGACTACTTTGTGTAATATAAGTCACTCAACTGAGCACTGAATGTTAATATCCCCCTACTTAATCGGGATCACAACCCTACCTAGGTCCCATCTACCAGTAAGATTAATAAGTAAAAATGACATGGGAGAAAACGAAGTACTGAGCCGTTCGTATTTCCGACAGATGCTTGGTAGAAACAGCACAAAAGCGATAATTGTATCGCACGCTCTTCGCAAATTGAGATCAGTGACTCGAGATTTCAAAGTGATTTCTGAGTAGCCATCCCCACCAATGCACCGAATTCGTCCAATACGAACTCGGCTAAGCACCTGACTGAGGGAACCACAACTTGAGCACATAAGCCAACGAAAAACGAAGGTTGCTAATATTCCAATGTCTATTAACCGTAAGGAGTAGTGAGTGTGCGTTTGAAAGGAAATTAGCAAAAGCATAGCTCCAAAAACGCTAAAGATATGGGGCAAACAGGTTAGACAAAACCCTTTTGATTTTACTTAATGTCACGGTGTCGGAAAGTAGCAAATTAGTAGGCAGGGTAGTGTTTGGTAAAGAATATTACGACAATTACTGTACAATGCTGAGAAAGGGTTGATGAGAGCGATGACTTCAATCCACCCATGTTTATGGGGCAGAACATTTTGTTTGTATTGGGCTCTTTATGTTTGAGAAGAGTCAATCAATTTATGATATTGAGGTTGTTCTCCTGCGCTCGCCATTCAGACTCATGTTTCCAATTTTATGCTGGATTAGCTATTATAGTAAGACAACCTAAATAATATGCTAACTGACTTTTACATTAAGACTGTGTGACAGGCATCGGATGAAAAGAAAAAAATAATCAGACAATAAAAGACATAGGTATTGGTTTACTTAACACTTTACTCTCTATATGCACTTTCTGTTCTAATAAACAGCCTTTCTTATTCCAACCCTGATTTTCCTTTCTTCATTTGAACTCACTCCACCTTGGTAAATATCACAACTCATTGTTCTTTATTACCACATTCTCTTAGCTGGAGCTTCTGATCACACTTCATCTTAGCTACAAGAGCTAGTATAAATTTATTCTAGTAAGTTATCATACCTCTGTCTGTTCCACTACAAAATGTTAAATATTGTTTATCGTTCATATCCAAGTGTCCTGCTGCTCCTCAGTTTCTCTTTTTTTAGAATCTTTCTCTGAGAGCACAGCTGTGGAAATTCTGACGTCTGAAACAAACTAGACGTATGTGTCTTTCCAAGGTCATAGGAATGAACTGATATTCACTTTTATAGACCATATTTATTTAACATGCATACTGTGAAACAATAAATGTTGTGAGTTGTAGATCATACATGTAAAATTTGTGCGTGCCTGCCCTTGCAGAAATATATTATATTATTGTACTATATCTAAAGATCATAGCCCTTCCTGAAACATGACTATCGTCCGACATCACTGAAGACGAAGTGACATTGCGAGACATGGTATTTTCCCAAACGATGAAGTACACAAAACAGAAGGTTGAGTGACAGTATACATTAACAGCCACTTCTATGCCGTGACACCACAGAGAACTGAAATAATCAAAACGATAGAATCATTCTGGTGTTGCTTTAATGTCAAAGGCACGAAGTTCATGATCAAAGGGATATATAGACCACACACATGTTCTAGATGTCAAAATGATGAGATAATACAAGCAAAACTGGAGTTTCCACATCTCGGTTTTGACCAATTATTATATTTCTATCGCGAACTTCATTTTCCACATACCTTATAAAAGCCCCCAGTAGTTAACACTGACCTGTCTTTACCTTTGGACCACACTAATTGAGGTATAAATATTCAGTTGGTCGTTATTCTCTCACATTATAGCCGAACATCCCAGATCTGAAATATATTATATACTCATAGACTCTTATCCCTGTATTAACCTGGTTAACACTTATTAATAACCATATACTCAGATATTATATTTAGTTTAACGAGCTCTCTACTCACCCAGTTTCAAATCATGGTCAATTACTTCAGTAAAAGTGAAATTTCACCAACTTCTAAGCCAAACAATAGGTCCAAATCCGTAACCCCCATGACTGAAGTTTCAGTACCTGACAATGTCGAACCTTTATCTACTGAACAATATGCGTCTTATCCACAAATACCACTATCATTACCTGATTTTCCATGTTACAAAC